TTTAGTGCCGTTGTAACTTCGAATGATGACTAAATGAACTGTTGTAAATCAAGGTCTACCTGTTGTCAGTCCAATTTTTGAAATCATATGTTTTATTCATTTCCTTTTTCCCTATAGACATTTTAAAAATATTTTTCAGTAGATCTAAGCAGATAGATAACTGGAAGCTTGTGTTTATGCTCTGTTGGTATACCTTGGCTTGAGTTCATGAATGACTTGTACTCTCAAAAAATGACTTAGGAATTACTTTCAGGCATCAGGTTTAACATGTTGAATTTAATCTTGGTATTTTCAACAAATAGTATGGGCCATCCCCTGTTATAAAATGATAAAATATGTTTAGGTTAAGCTTGGCTATTGATTATAGATATGGAAATTGTACATTTTGCCCTCTAGGCAATTTTTCAGTGTCCTAGGTTAGCATATAGTCCTGAGATTCTTGATGATCTCTCATGTAAGAATTAACTAGGTTCAATCCTGCTCAGTTACAAAAGGCTACACTGCTTGGATCTGCACATATACTATGCCAATACATTATGACATCCTAGGATCTTGGAAAGAATGTACATTTTGGCATACGAAGGCCAAAACCAGCTAACAAACTAGCAGTTATAATTTCACATTTTTGTGTAAATAATGATAATGATGGTGATAATAATAATACACTTTGGGTGCAGTTCTAAAATATCTGAAGCACCACTTGAATCACCATCAGCAATGACAAAATCCTTATCAGTCAATTACAAAAGGCAGTTTTATTTGGAAAAGCTTACATCTTGCAATGGTACCTTTAACACCATCAAACACCATCTGCCTATCTCAGGTCCTAGGGAAGGACTCGATAGTGGATAATAATGCCAAATCATCTAAATCTCTGGCTACCCATGCAACCAGCCATAATAACATTATGTGAAATGTAGCTTTAGAGTTTTCATCACTTTTAAAGTGTTAAGTGCAACTCTTGCTACCAAGAGGATGTTCACACTTGCCATGTGTGACTTGAGTCATAAACTCTGCTAAACCAAAATGAAATTAATTATGTTATGGCCCTATCTATACAGCTTTGCTAAGCCAAAAAGCTTGTTTTTTACTGAAGAAACGAAAAGGCCTAGTAAAAACATTAAGTACAAAGGAAAAAATAATTAAAATTTGGGATGTACCCAGAATAAAATTTGTACACTCAAAGACTATCTATTAGAGTTTGTTAAAATATAGCTAATAAATCCTGATGAGATTTTTAAAATGTGTAAAATTTTCAGTTAATTCAATTAATACCTCTCCCACAAGCCCTTGAGGCTTCATATTACGATAAGCTGCATCCTGCTTATAGTAGCTATTGGTACATTCCGGCATCCACCACTCGTCTCCTGCCTAAACTCAGCATGCAAGAGAGATTGGGTTCTCATGCCCTGTGTTGCCTTTCTGATCAACATTTGAAATCTGAAAAAATTCTAGCTAGTTCAGCAGAGTAATGCCTCTTTTGCAAAAACAACACAAATTGTGGACAAGCTCCTGGACCTAATTCAGTGTATTGGGTGCTACCTATGAAGCTGTATATGACTTGGATCCTTGTTGTCTTCAGGACTATCTTTTTGCCCTGCATCATCTGGCAGAAAGAAGATCCTCTGAATGCTGAATAGGACAATTCGCCATGACCAACACGCCGCAGCTATCTTGTCATGGCCATCCCACTGTGGGACAACTCGCCGCAGACAGTTCCATGCGGGATAACTCAACACAATAAATGTTATCTACCATTTTTTCTTTCACATTGATTCCATGGACAAAAATGGAAATAATGAAGAAACAGTGGCAGATAACATTTATTGTGTTAACCCCGTGGAATTGTCCATGGAAAGTTGACCTAGACCCCTTCTGAATGCCCACTCTTAGAGAAATCAGGGAGGTGCGGATCTGAACTCTCAGAGTGAAATAGTTGATTACACAGAGCCCTGTGATGTTATCTGTCAAGAAGCAAGCAAAGACTTTGTACTTCTGCAGGGCTTTGAGGAATGAGTTGGAAAGACAGCTTCAGATTAAGACTGAACATTATTTTGGAATTTCGGATTTAATGATTGTTTTTAAAGTATTATTGCAAGCTTCCTAAAGTTGTTCAAGTAAATAACATTCAAATAATTGAAATCAATCAAATAGTGGCTCCTCTGAACCATTTAACAGTGTCTAGAGCAGAGGTCCCAAACCTTTGGGGCACCAAGGACTGGGTCCATGGAGACAGGTTTTTCCGGGGACCAGAGGGTGCGTGGTTTTGTGTGCTCCCTCCATCTTGCGGATGGGGCTTTGCTAGCATGCTGCAGTCCAGTACTGATCCACGGATTGGGGGTCTAGAGGATCTATCCCTTCCTTCTTTCATTGAGAGAAAAACCAATCTCAAAGGAGATAAAATCAATTTTAAAAATAACCCTCTTTAAAACATTATTAACAGTTAGACATGCAGTGTGAAAGAAGATAATTACAGAGCTTTCCAGACAGTAGTAATTCAGCAGTTTCCAAATTAGTTAAGAAAAAAAGAAAGAAAATGCGGTCTTCCAAGCAGATTGTAAGATGGTATAAATGAACTTGTACAGAGGGACTAAAAGAAAGTAAAAATGAGACTTAGTACAATAAAGAAAACAAAAATGCAAAACCTAATGCAAATTTCTGACTATACATTATACCAATTTCTGTAGTCCTGAAGCAAACAACCCTCTCCTTCAAATTCTTGGCATGTCTATCTCCTTGAAAATTTCAAATGTTAAATGAAGGCTGCTGGAGAAGATGGGACCTGTAATCTTTACTTAGCCTCTCTGCACAGTCTTCTACATTTCCTTTAAAATAACCTAGAGAGAGGGGGTAATTTGATTCTGAACATGGCAAACCGATATTTCTAACTTGTGAGGATGGGCATTGCCTTATGACTCTAATACTTAATTTACCTGATGCTGTCACAAAGCACATGATATGGCTTATACCAGATGGCTATGTTGCCTACAATGCTGCCCCTGCTGCTTTGGCAGTAGCCTCCCTCCACTGCTATAACTTTGTTTTTACTACTGTGACCAGCTGTTGCCATTTGCCTCACTTTTATTCAATCAATATCCTTGTCCATGTTAACACTACATCATGCTTTGCCTGTAATGTGAACCCAGTCAGTGGTTGAATTTATGCTTTGCAATAAGCCATGATGTGGGATGTATCAATTCACACATTTTAAGCCAAAATCAAATGTATTGTGGTTAGCAGAGCATGGCTCAGCCCAATGTGTGTGAAGCGTGAACAAAATTTAATTTCCATTCTTTGGAAATGTTGCAGCAATAAAAACAAACCAAACTTTCCAACATCAGGAATTTCCTGCCAATAGTTTCTTGCTTAGTTGTTTAAATTGAAAACATCTAGCTGAAATGAATATGCAAGTTGCAATTGTGTTGAAGCCAGAGCTCTCATTACTTTGCTTGTATTACAGTCAAAGAAAAAGGCAATTGGGATTACTGAATAGATCCATAACGGCTCTGCCAGATCTTGAACCTGTCTGTTGTCAAATTTGGGGTGGGGGTGGTGGAAAGCAGATGTAATGCTATCAGCACAAAAGACAAACAGATTTTATCCTTTACTTCTTTGCCCAGGCAATCCAAAGGCTTCCATCAGTGGCCATTTTTGGTTTGGCAGGTTATGGAGCCCAGCTAATACTTTTACTGTATTTGACAAATGTTAACATGAGACTAAATTTGAAAGAAAAAAAAGCTTTTAAATCTCAGCTACTCCATATTACTAATGAGTATGGGTTGTATTTTTTGACTGAAATTTGAGAGCCAGCTTGGTGCAGTGGTTAAGCATCAGGCTAGAATCCAGGAGACTGTGACTTCTAGTCCCATCTTGGACATGAAGCTAGCAGTGTGACCTTGGGCCAGTCTCTCTTTCTCAGCCCTAGGAAAGAGGCAATGGCAAATCACTTCTACAAAATCTTGCAAAGAAAGCTGTGAGGGCTACTACAGGAGACAACAGAACTCAAAGGTGAGTGCACGCACACACACACACACGTATTAACACAATATCCAGTATATACAATATCCTTGTGGCAGGATTATCAATAATGGGTGAAAGATCCTAACCAAGTTGCCATATCCATCATACATGTTAGCAAGACACCTTAGTGAGAGAACATGTGGCCCCATTCCCCTCACATGGCTCTTTTAAGTTTCCAATTTGTTAGCTACCTCATGCTGTGGTTAAATACTTTAAAATGTAGCACAAACACAACCAATATGGGCATCTACAGAGGAAGGGAAGAAGTGATGAAAGATGTAAAATTACACAAAGTCCAGGACAAATGTACTTGCACTAGATGCCCAGTTGAAGGAACACTAAGGCAAGGATTTGTATCATGTTGCCACATGTACCATAATTTTTTGTATCACGACTTGCTGCCTGCTGACTTTACCAAGCCAGTGATGAAACCTTAAAACAGCTTTCATTTTGGAACTTATTAACCTGATTATTGTAGATGATAAAAACCTACAATTATCAGGCTTTCCCTCCCAGAGAGGATTAGAAATCCCTTAGAAACTCAAAAGAAAAATCAAATAATTGAGAATACTGTATATATTTACTGAGGCAGTTTGGAAGCCATAACCCAAAAAAAAGTTTCACCAACAATTGTATGGATATTTAAGGACAAGATTTGTGTATAGAATCCATTTTCAAATGTCTTTTGCAATTTGCCCTTTTGGTAGGGTCTCCATCCATCATGATTTATTACTCTTTTTTCTCTCACAAAAAAATCTGTGTCACCACTCTCACATTTTCAATTTGAATTTAAAGGTTCTGAGACATACTTTTTAAAAGTTTAAATGATACAATGACAGTATTAATAAACTAGGGGGATAGAGGTAAAAATACTGGCATAGAGGTTTTTTGAGGTTCCTTGAGTGTCAGAAGTACCAAACGTTTTCCATCACATAACACACTGAATAAAGATAGAAAGTTTCTATAAAAGTGATATTTATTTCATTTAAAAATACTCTTGGAAAATAAGCTAATGTAGCTAGTTCAAATGTACTATGTAATGCTTCAGTTAATGAAGATTTAGTGGCCATTATTTAAAATGTGCAAAAAGAATATGAGAGACAATAATGCAATAGTGGCATAATTGCAGAAGTCAGCTTTTTACAATTCAATTTCATCTTGGTTTGGAATTCATATAAATGAATATTAAAATACATTTTCTTAAAAATACAGAGAGCAGTTTGGAACTAAATCTAAGGAGTCTAATAATGGTACAAAATGTCAAAAGAGAATTCTCTACAAAAGGCCTACATGTTAATCTTACTCAAAATGAATATTCAGTGAAACAATAATTATGAAATCTCTGATATGAATGTACATATAATTTTGGACACATTCTTGGAACAAATTCTCCAAGTCCTATTTCATATATGTTATAAAATGCTTGTTTGAACAAAAAAGTTATACATTAGCAATTATTTATTGCCTGTGAAAAATGGCTCATTGTACAGACAGATGTGATTTGCATAACCTCTTCGAAGAAATATAAGTTAAATTAATATAACGTAATAGCAAAACACCTTAAATGTTTTATAATACTGGAACAGACAGTAATTTAATGCAAATTAGTGTTCTTTCAATAGCTATGCAGCAGACATAATTTGAAATAACTGTTAGTCCAGTCCAACATGGGAAAATTACATCTATAATCTGTCCTTTTGGATCAACTGCATATGCACAAAACTGCATAGAATCTGGTTACAATCTGTAGGATTGTTTAATCCAAAACAGTACCTGTACTTACATGATGTGCAAATTACTTCTGTTAATGAACAATAGTATTTTGCTGTGTTATTCCCTGTTGCATATGATTTTTTTTCTGAGACTAGCAATTTACTGCATTTTATGGCCTAAAGTGACTGTCATTTTGGATTTTCATAAACCAGTCTATAATCTAGAGACCACAGGGACAAAGTCTGGTTTCCATTCATCCATGATGGTTAGTTGAATAGGGTCTGCCTGATGTAGTACACCAGAGGGGGAAGAAAGAAACATGGCAGCAAGAGCATGCTCACTAGTTGCACTTACAGTTAATGTGTCGTGTGAATTCACATAAAACAGTAGGCCACCTTTGAGGAAACTCTCTTTACACTAGGACATGTCAGAAGGGACCACTAACTTATACATTTCGCATAAGGAAACAATTTTTTTTCAGTACAGTAGCCCATTTGGTGTGCAATGTTTTCTGCAGCCTGATGTGTGTATATTCTTGAAAATATTTTAATGTTTATTTACATATTGATTTGATATGTGTGGTATTTTACATAGAACAGGTAGAATGAGTAAACATGAAGCCCATGTGCCTGCTTCATTTGTATGAACTTTGGCTCATTTTAATAATATCTGGAGATGGGAGGTAAGGACTGTTTCAAAAGTTTCCCCAAGAAAGTGATTTGTGATGTTTGAAGCAAGAGAGGCAGCTGATCATTGTATATAGATTTCTAATTACTTATACTTTGAAAGTGAATGTTAATACTACACTTTAATTTTAACTTCAGTACTACAGTATAGCATACCACTGTAAAGGTCTAATTAAAAAGGCCTTTAGTGAGAAATACCGACTGAACTCTACAAAAATTGAGAAGGAAGGATAAACTAATGATAGTTTTTTTCCACAGGTTTCTAAAAAAGAAAATGATTTTAAGAAAAAGCATTTAATTATGTTATAGTTTAGCTGATTAACATCTAGAATTAGATCTGTGATCAAAGAAGTAATTTACTGTTATGCACAGGTGACAATCAGCTCCATTCAGGTGTCACAAAGCAGATGTGACTAGTCCTCTTTTTCCATGAACTCTCCTCATCCACACATTAATTAATAACATCATAATTTGCTGGAGCATCTAAGCTAGATAAACTGGGACTACTGATAATCAATTGCTTTCCTGAAACCAGGATCTGAAGGGGTTTCAACCTCAGTTCAGACCTCTCTTTGCCTATAATTTGAACAGGATACTTTATCAGACTACAATTAATGCAAAAATCTCAAAAGATAAGTAGAAGAGCGAGAGGTGCTCCTGAATGCTGAACCATACCTTGGCAAACAGAACTGTGATGTCTAAGAAGAGCTGTCAGGATTAGACAGCAATCTGAGATTTTATTAGGAGATAAAATAAGAAAATACCCACTGGAGAATATAAGCTATCATCTTGAAGTGGGCAGTGTTCCAAACCAGCAGGAATATTGCTTCCCCTGAGTGGAATAAATCAGGCAGAGCACCACCAGCTGAAGCAGTTCTGCAACGCCAGCATTGCACATCTAATTCTAAAATACATTAAGATTCAATAAGAGCACTTAATTTTACACATAATTGACATCATCTTCTTCTGTATTCAAGTTGAGATTTAAAGTCTGCTTTAAAAGGCTTTTTAAAAGCATTGATCAGGTGTGTTTCCATAACAAGATATTTTTCATGCTTGCAGTTCTCCCAAGTCTCCTCCTTAAGCCTTTGACATGTGTGATATGATAAATATGGAAGTATTCACTAGTCACACAGAACCTGTGTTGGTCAAAATACCCTGTAAGTCGTCCGGCTGTGCAAGTATAATTGAATCAATGTGCTTCTTTAACTTTTCGATAGTTCCAGGTTTCACAGGTAAATTTTCTCCATCAGTCTATAATTATAAAAATGCAAATTAAAATGTTTTACAAGACCAAGTTATCACTGCTACATCTAATATCTATCTACTTATTTCTAAACAGCAAAATTCAGTAAAAATAAAAGATCAAAGGCTCAAGGTTTCTAATATTTCAGTTAGGCCTGGGAAAGATATTTCTCTGAAACTGGAGTGCTACTGTCTGTCAGTATATGGAGAACTATATTCAAAGATTTGAACCAATGATATAGGGCACTTTTACTAATTCATTTCTGACAGGTTTTCAATGTTTTCCACTCTTGGAAGTAAATTCAGTTTTAAATTAAATGGAAAATAGCTTTTCCTTCAACTGCATTTGACCAGCAGATGGAGCTGTGAACAAATATATTATTCTGGTAAGCACATTAAAAAAAAACCACATCAATACATATTTGGCAGTAATGAAAATAGAAAGCACTACACTTTTATATCCTGGAAGGGGGACAGGCAATATCTGGGGGATATTAAAGTGGACCCAGCCAGCTACTCCTTCTCTAGCTGATTTTTATCTTAATCAATAATATTAATTTTACAAAATGGGAAGCTGCCATGCTGCAAATTAACAAGAAACCTTCTGGTAAAATGGATGGGGTTTTTTTGAGCTCAACATTTAATAAATGTCCGTTGGTCTAAAAACGTTTGCCTATTTCTCAGTCTAAGGAATTAGAGCAACTGGTATGTTCATGTGAAACTGCAGTAAACATGTTCCACAAAGATGCCAGGAGAAAAACTATTGACTGGGGAGTAACAATGCTAGTTAGGAGGAATTGGGAACCTTGGTTACTGATCATCAAAATTCCTTCGCATTATCCTTTCATGGATAGGAGAATGGACAGATATACAATATAGTTTTCTTGGATCATTCTGACAATGTAGGTGTCAACTGGAATAATTAAAAAGGGACAACACATAAAACATTAGCAAAGGCATATAGAATGCTTTGGAAAAAAAATCTACATACCAATTTAGCTTTTAATTTTAAGACTAGATCCACTGTTTCCACTTCAGTATGTTTCTGACTCCAGAAAAGCAAGTCCTAGAAAAAGAAAAAATGTGCCTGAAAATTAATTACATCCATAAATATTACATCAAGCAAGATGCAAGAAAAATAAAACAAGTCTGAAACAACTAAACTATTATCGATTTTAATACTACTACTCATACCAAGATTCTGCAATGTAATTAAAAATCAGAGGTGGGAAACTATCCTCAGCACTTGGTATTTCAATTTGATATGCACATTTTCAACTGGATTTTCAAGTATAAACACTGTTCTGCACTTAAAGAATGGATAGGTGAGAAAAAGCTTCATGGAAAGATGCTGATCTAACCTCATTACACAATGCTTCCAAATGAAGTGCCTCCAGTTTCCGTGTCATTTCTTTTCGCCGTGTCCGGAACCAACCATCAAAATTGTAAGATTTCAGAAAATGCCTTTAAGACAAAAGGAAAATTTGTTTCACTACAGGAATATTCTGCAATCAAAGCAAATATCTATCTTTTTAACCAGATGTATTTCCAAGTGAAATGTATCGTATAAGATATAATTTTGAATTACTTACATTTGTATGTTGACAAAGAACCCTCTTATAATATATGTCTATGTCTCATAACATATAATTAGTTAGGGTTAGTAACATATATTGGCTTTTTACTTGCAATATAAGCAGCCAGAAAAAGAATGGACTGATTCTTATGAACTTCAGCATTATTGTGTTTTGAAGACATAATGTTTTGAATGTAGAAGAAACTTCCAAAGAACTATCTCACAAACCAAAATACTATGAAGTGCCCATGAAACTGTTATCTGAAGATGTTTCAAGAATGAATGATATATATATATATGCAGATGCACTTTTTAACATAATTTTCAGAGTCTTGTTTATAAACAGCAGGTTAATCATGAATTTCCTATCTATCCTTCATCTACATACTCCATTCCCAAACTATAAAGTAGTTAAAGCTGATCTTATAAGGGATTGTGGATAAAGGGCAATATTTGACTTAGCTAGCAATTGGAAAGAATAGCATATTACATTTTGCGCTTTAGGCATGATTCTTTAGGAAGCATCAAAACACATTCTAATACCTTAGTAATAATAGCCTTCAAAACATAAAATAGATTTTTAAAAAGTATGCATTTTATAAGCAAGAAAGGGCAAGTGTAATGAGATGGTTACATTGTGTCTAGGATGCTGGTTCATTCTCCTGCAATCTTATTCATATTTATGTTTGATTGTTATTTTAAATATGTTTTAACTGCTTTATTATACACTGTCCAGAGTCATGTTTGTGAGATATGTGGCTAAATACATTTGATAAATAAATAAAATTCAATGTAGCTGTACACGGTCTACTAGAACACAATGAGCATCATGCTAAGGCTCTTTTAGTAAAAAAAAATTACCTGTACAATCCTATCCAGTCCCCCTTTAACCGAGAAGTAAGCTGAGGCCCTGTTTTTTCAAGAGTTTTCATAAACTCCTCTTTGCTGAAAGGCTTCAATTGTGGAGGACTCTATGAGAAGACAGAACTATAAGCTAACGGGGCAGAAATTGTGTGTGTATACGTAATAAATTCTTAGCTTCTAAAAATATTCTCACCTTCCAAGGTGATATGCTTTTTTGTAGAGGCATTAAACTTGCTACGTATCTTTCCTGAACAAAAACAAGATGCAAAAATAAGATACTGTACAGAAAGGCAGGTATTAGCCAAATTTAACATTGTATTTTATCTGATTCAAAAAAGTGACCAGAAGAGCTGTTTTGAAATAAAAGGTATAAAATTGGCATTATGCTAATTCTAGCATCTATTCTGTGAAAGACCAAATTTTGAAGTGCAACTTTGCCTAACTTCAAAATATGTGTTATCTCTGTATATGCACAACAGTACGTGCATAAGATCTAGTACTTTTTATTCTTGAGAAAACTCTTAGAATTTTGAAATCCTAAAATAAATTATGAAATGGACACAGTACAAAATAAGAAAAAATAGCCGTGTTTACTTATCTTGGAATTACAAGTAAGGTGCAAAAGAACATACTGCTAAGAAACATGTTTTTAGATTCAGATTCCTTTGAAAGAATCTAGAACTGGAATCTAGGCAACTTATACATTTTGATAAACAATTAAAAAGAAACCGCACTCAGGATTATGATTTATTTTATTATCAAATAAGTTTTGTACAATTCTTTTTTTTTTAGAAAGGAAGTCTACTGTTCAAATTGTCTCCATTCTAGGCCTAGAAATAAATGATTAAAATGATAAAAAATACAGTTCCCACTAAGAAACAAATGGGTTTCTCGTTTACATTTACTTACTAGAGGAATAATGAAGCTTTGAGTCAATTCCAAGAAATAACGACGAAGGATTATGCTTTGGGCTTCTGCAGGACGCTTCTGTTGTACTCCCTGAAAAAAAGCAATTATGTTCACTGCAGATACACTCTACTGAAATTGATAAGCAACTGTTAATGTACGATGTTTATATTGATAATGTTTTACAATATAATGGGGGAGAGAATGTATGCCAGAATTTTTGTCAAATTATTTAAAGCCACAGATTAAATTATGCTATAGATCTTTAACATATGACAAGGATAAAATGCGGCCCATTTAGGTTCAAGACTTTGATCCAAAAACATAAAATCCAATTCTTGTTCTTTGTGTAACATGATAGTAGAGCACAAATATGTGAATAATGGAAAACATTGTGAAGGTGGTATTTTAAGGGTCCCATTCTTACAGAAATAATCTGTTGGGGAATGCAAGGTGGATGAAGCTGAAGTAAGCAATGGGTGGAACCAGAATACAGACAAGAATGAGGACTCCTTCTTTGACATTACTTTAAAAAAACTTTTTGCACCCTCTTCTTTCTTTGCCAAGTAGCCAGCTGCAAGAAAGGAATGTTTTTATCATAGATATCTTGCAGCAGGTTGGCTGAGGTGAAAGTTAGTTGAAAGGTTGAAAGATTGTTGCAGTTTTAAGGCCACAACTCAGTTCCTGAATACCTCATCAACATATAAATACCAAACAAGACAACAACCCAAATAACACGGGGACATGGCCATCTTCCGTTTTGTACAGTTACGAATTCACAGGAGGACGGACCCTAATTAGGAAATATGTGAAAATGGAGCATATTTTGTTCAAAAAAAGGGAGAAAACAAAGCAAATAAGCATTGTCTCTGTCCAGTATCGATTACTGCTAATACTTCAAGTTTGAAATAATACCTTTTGTAATTGTTTTACGATGTCTTCATCTTTGTTTAAGTATGGTTTGTATGATGTATAAACACCTAGGAAGGAAGAACACTACATTTATCTCTGGGGTTGATCCACATGGACTCCAAATTGAAAATTTATAATGTGAAAAAAAATGTATTACCTGGTTTGGAATCCAAAGTTTTTAAGTTCTTCAGCTTTTTTACTTTAACTTGCTTCGGAACTTCACCTGCCAAATGGCATGAAAAGGTCATCCTTTAATAAAATATTAGTATCTTAATTAGTATCTTTCCATTTTAGTTAATGCCAGGCCCCACGGGGGGAGGAGGAGGGGGAGAAATACAGAAGATAATACCTGCTTCCAACTCTTTTTGAAGGATCAGGTTGCTGACAATTTTCCCAGATAAAGTCTCCATGCATAGTTATTAACCATCCTGCTCCCCAGGATAAAGAAAAAACTAACTGGGGTGGAAGGGACTCACTATTGTGGTAGACCTTTTGAGAGGGCCAACATGTTGGCCCACATCAGCTTTCACACTATGACCAAACAGGCAAAATGGTGGTGACATTAGCATGATCAAAGCTCTAACAATTTGTACATGCAACGTATCAGTTGCATTTAACCACTGTTATCCACACCACCTTGACAAGGCAACACACTTTATATTGGGCTGCCCTTGAAAAATAACAAGAAACTGCAACTGATACAAAATGCAGTGACCCATGCAAAGTATAGGTGCTGTGCATGTTCCACACATATTTTACATTTAACCACAACGGAAGGAAGAATATAGGTTTAAATTTCTGTACATCTCAAAAAAAAAATCACCAATCAATTTAAATACTTTACCTGAGACTTTGATATCTCCTATTCGAATGATGTGTGGCCAATGCTGAAGTGTTTTAGCAAAAAATGGATTTGTCACTCCTAATATGACAGAAGGCCTGTAATACACAAGATGCTTAAATGAGACCAGTAAGAGGTGGAAATCTGCTAAGTTCCAGAGGGGAAGCATGTTGGAAAACACATAAACAGAAAATATGCAGCATATTTTACATTAAGCTCAGATCCAATGTAGCTCTTTCCCGAACAAAAGGGCTCACTTTGTACATTCATAATAAAGAATTTCGATTCAGCGCCAATGACAGAAGCTGCTGTTCACAGAAAGGACTGTAATTTTGCAAATTCCCCTCCAACTTGCTTCCCACATGCTGTTTTTTAAACCAATCTGCAGTTATGAACAGAATTAGAAAAAAAAATATTTCCCAATTTCTCTTAGCGAGACATGTTCAAATTCATAGATCTCCCATAAAGGGGCTCTGCCAGAGCTTTACCCCTCAAAACGGTAACAGCTTCCTCAGCCAATTTTGTTAGCTGAAATTTGAAGAGAAAAGTGTGTGTGTGTGGGGGGGGGGGAAACAGAGTTGCTCGTAGGTGCCAGAGGATGAAAGCCCTTGTAAATATGAATAGTGGATAAACATACTGTCTAAATCCATGATTTGCTTCATCAGTGTTTGTTAAATCAGTTACAATAGATTGAGCTCACACTACACACCAAGCCACATCTAACAGTTTATAAACCACAGTGGATTGGGACTGGGAAGGCACAGATATGTGAGTCCCTTTCCTTTCCTGAAAGTGCACAAGCAGCACACAAGAAAACAAAGGAACCCAGCCTTTTCCTTTATCCCCCTCCCCCCAACTGAAAAGAATGTGTGTCCTTTTCCGCCTCTAATCCTCAACAAGAAATGACATATTCTTATTGTCTATTATTACCCAACTTAGTTCTGCTCTTTTCTGTCTGGTGACATTATGGTTCACAGCTTAAGCAAAACTTTCCCCATTAAAACTGAGGAACATAATAGATCCCCAGAGAATTAGCTGCCTTCACAAGATCTGGAAGATCCTGTTTCCATACTCAGGCCCTTCACTTGTGACTGAATGCCAAGTGAGAGCCTGCCACATCTCAGTACATTCCATGTCCTAGAGCACCTTCTTCGGATGCATGATGGTTTATGCTCAGCTGGCAGAGCTTGATAGTTATACATCTAGGCTTTACAGATCTAATTGTTTATTTTAGTTAACCATGCATGTATCTCTAGAAATTGATGCTAACATCATATAAATATAGTCATCATTATAAGAACCAAACAATTGTAAAGCAAAAGAGCAAGTGAGATTGGAAATAAAAAGAAATGGAGATTATTTTAAAATGTAGAAAATCTAAAAAATAATGCAAGCTAAAGTGATTTTAACAAAGGACTATGATAAAAACAACTAAACTAAACCCGTATCATGAGAAAAGGAAAAAACCAATGTAGTTACTTATCATACTTGATAAAATCATTGACTTGGCTAAATTTTCACCAATTTAATTTTAAAACAAGATAAATGAAATGTATATATACAGTATATCAACCTGCTGAACTGGAATTCTGTAAAACAGTAATATTGCTTTACATGTTATCTTTAAGTGTTTGATCCAACATGTTGTAAGGAGTGGTGAGCCAGCCTTCCCATCCCGCATAAATTAGATTGGTGATGTAGGTAAAAAACTGATCTCCCTGCTTAAAAGTCAATTGCTTCCATTAACTCTATGCATGATTTCTTTCTTCTGAACTGGAATTCTGAGAGTGGATGATTCAGTTTACAAGGAAACTTCTGCATTAATTTGAAGGCTCCTTGTGGTATACATCCAGTTATTTTACCAACAGATTAGGAGACAGTTGGGGCTGGTCATTGCTCCTTCATGTTGAATTAAACACTAATGGTGATATTACAACAAAATGCCAAGAATCAAATTACTAATCATAAACCTGCTGCAATGCTTTTTCAATATCCAGAAAAAAGCAAATGCAACAACTGAGAATAAATGCAAACCTATACCAGTCTGGGGGAGGGACTAAAAATGAAAAAAAAAATAAGAGATTCAGTGCTAAGTTAAACTCAAGAATCCTCCCACAGTTACTTAAAAATACAGGGCATTCTAGAGCAGCTTTTAAAATGAACATTACTTTATATTTTGATGGGCTTAACTTTATTTTACTCTAAACAGTTTAGACATGATTTTATCTCCCTCTCAATTTATCATCATAAAGTCTTTCAATCAACAGTTCTAGTAAATTCACACACAACCAGAATAATCCTTTGAATGTATGGGTGGTGAAAAATTCCACAGATGTGACAACTGGAAATGCTGCTTAAAATTAGACCACAAGGAAGTGTAGACCCCAAAACAAAATATTCATAGAGGGATGTCAGCTCTGTTTGAAATAACAGCATATGCTAAGCCACAAGTTGCTTCATCTTTTACATTTGTTTAATGGGATCATCAACATTCCAAGCATTGCTTTGTTTCTGTGAGGATGGTTAAGCACAGCACAATTTAATTTCTAAAAATAACTTGCACAGAAATATGTTTTCCATATTTGGATATTTAATCATTCTGAATAGATGACTTTTTAAAGAAAATACACAAAACTTATTATTTTACATTTCTTTTCCACATGGGAAAATAACATAGCAAGCAATGGTTTTTCTTTTTTTCAATTCTCAATTTAAATTCAATTAATTATGGAAAGCCAAACTGAAGAATATATTCCTGTTAAAACTTCCTCTGTTAAAAGTTCCTAATCTTTTCAATCAATATTCCACCACCAAATTCAGTGAGACATTTTTGAGTAGACAGGCGTAAGGTACTTTGTCAAGCCAAATTATGTCAGAACAACCTGTTTAACATGACCATACATTTACTTACGGGGTCTGTGTACGAGTGGTATAGTCCTTGAATTCACTGTCATGTATTGTAAAATAAGGTCTAAAATCACTGTAGTACTTCAAAGGTGAGATACAGCTGTGAAATGAACATATAGGAGATAAACCTTTCAGTTTATTACATGTTTGCTAGGTAATCTCGATAAAATCTTCCAAGATGTAGCAATTTTCTACTGTCTTTCAATGTATAACTGAATTCCTGAACAAATGCAAAGTGTATCACCATTGGTTAAAGGAGCCATGGTATTGCAGTGGTTAGAATGCAGTATTGCAGGCTAACTCTGCCCACTGCCAGGAGTTTGATCCTGATGCACTCAAGGTTGACTTAGCCTTCCATCCTTCCAGGGTCAATAAAATGAGGACCCAGATTGTTGGGGGCAATGTGCTGAGAGAGTGCTGTTAAGCACTATGGAGTGGTATATAAATCTAATAATATGTGAAGTAAAAAATGAAAAAAATTGCCTGACAAAAACACTGTGATGATTCAATACAGGGAAAATGTACATCTGTATGGACAGGAAAAAAAATCAGGCTGCCTTGATGCATAACATAACAAGAAAGAAAAAAGCCATAGTGACCTGTTGATGCATTCAGGTAAAATCTCCAGGCCTTCTCACAATTGTCTGGTACCTTTTTTTGAGGTTAACTTTTGCTTATTAACATCTATTAGTATTTAATTTCAATATTTTTTTAAAAAGTATCAACACAAAAAGAAGTATTATGTAACATTAATTATTCAGCTGGTTAAACTGAAAGCTATCACATTTACTACCCTCAGCAACCCCCCTGCAGCTTCTAAAATTACCTATACATTTAGGGACACATCACATTAAGAGATGATCTGTTTAATTGTTGTTTGTGGAATAAAGTATTACTAACTGGGGTTATCCACAATGATAAATCATGAAAAAGCAGCCAGTTTAATGGCTTAGGACATCCGATCCAAGTTTTCCTTCTGTTTTTTTTTTGAAATAAAAACTTAAAGGCTTTTAATCCCGCTACACTCTTTCCATTTTGTGATTCACTCCAAGAGCCCCATCATACAGCTTTTTAAAAATACTCCATATGTTTACCTCACAAGCGCCAAGACAGTGTCTGAAGATTCTGATGGTGATGGTGCCATGACAACTAATGGTTCCCCTAACAACACTAGTTCCCACAGCATCTGGACGTGAAAGAATACTGGCAAGAAACATCTGAAACAGATTCACAAAAGTAAATATTTTTTTCCTTGCCCTAGTTATAGCAGAGACAGCAGAACCAAAATTTGCAATAGAAATATAATCTTGGGTTGCACACTCAAGACTTTAAGGCAAAATAATTGTTAAAGCTTCTTGGAAAACACAGAAGTAGAAAAGCTGTGCAGATAAAGTGGGATTTGAACTTTTGGTTCAAACCATACAGTTGCCATGTGCCTACATTTAGCCAGCTATCAGGACAAGATGAAAGCTGAATTCACTCATATTGCAGCATTCGCAATGGGAGATCACACAGAATGTTAAATTCTTAAGAAATGATTTCCTGATTTCTTTTACTGCAAACATATTTAGACACTTTCTGAAATACAACAATAACAATTTGCATAAAGGGAGCAAAGAAAACCTACAACAGGAATTGATTTTCTAATTAGCGGTTAGAGTTCCTCTCTAACCTCTATAGACTCATCTCACACAAAAAGAAATCTGACCAAATTCCAGTAACAGTATGTTAAAATTAGTGATTATAATGTGCATCAAACAAGGATAGGTAATTTTCCTGGACTGGGCTCAAGAACTTTAAGCAGATAGCAATCGCACTTTGACTTATATACCGCTTCACAGTGCTTTACAGCCTCCTCTAAGCGGTTTACAGAGTCAGCATATTGCCCCCAACAATCTGGGTCCTCATTTTACCGATCTTGGAAGGCTGAGTCAACCTTGGGCCGGTGAGACTCGAACTGCCGAACTGCTAGCAGTCAGCAGAAGAAGCCTGCAGTACTTCATTCTAACTATTGTGCCACCACGGCTCAAATGCACAAATGGACATGGTATACGTCTCCTCCCCACCTCAATTTTGTCCTCATCTCTACAACACGTGGTGGAAAAGCTTTAATCCCTACTAATCCAAAGAATGAGTAAGATTCATGCTTTCTCATTGCTATTAGAAGCAAGATTAAAGTTTATTTAATTTTAAAAGTTCTTCAGGAGTGATTGTAATGAAAATGCTGTCTCTCCACAGTTAAAGGAAAAGAAATAGCTATCTGCTTTTACTGCCCAAATAGGCAATGTTAGCAAAAGAGCCAAAAACATAGGAAAATGACAGGAGTGTTTCTTGTGAGAGCACATAAACAGCTACATATTATACAAAGATGCATGTAACATAAATTTAAAAACTGTGTTTCATAGGATGATATCTTATCTCTGTGTCTCTTTGTTAATTAATCAATTCATGCTTCCAGTTCCTGAAACTTTGATGTAACGTGTGAACTTCAAGAAATCAAACCAAGATGCTTTTTAATCTTTACCTAAAGAGATCTACTTCATAGACAGTTGGCAAAGCAATGGAGATTTGTGAATCTGCCTAAAAAAAAGACAAAAAAGATTGTTGAGCAGAGAAGTACCAAACAACAAAATAAAAAGTGTATTACGCTATCTTTGCAACAATGATCTTCTATAATAAGCTTATCGCATAAATCTATAAAGTGCCCTTCATTAGATTCCCTACTTTTTTATTTCTTAATTTGTATACCACCTGTTACAAAATTACCCTGGGCATTTTACACAATAGAATTCACACAACTAGTAAAAATAACAAGAGGATCAACTCAAAAGTAGAATACATGGCACATATCAGAGAAGGATAATTAAACAAACTTACTCCCAACAAGCCATCAGGGAACCAATCACTACATCTATTCCAGGGGTTGCTAAAAGAACCAGGCTTTTATGCCTTTAAGCCATAAGTCAAAGTATCAGATCCATGCAGACTTCAGAGGAATGCTGTTCCTCAGCATCTACTGAGAAGATGCATCTCCAGGGTCCAACAAGATGACATTGCTTTATAGCTGGGACCTGGAATGTACCCACTCGTCCAGAACTTATCATCTGGACAGAAACAGTAGACAGACTGGCCTATTGGTAAACAGTGATATGTTCCATGGGCAAAATTGGGACCATCCATAATTATTCATGCGGCTGCATTTTGGATCAGTATAGCTTCTGAAAATTGCAAGAGTCCAAACAGGAGGTGATGATAGCATGGGTGACTGAGGAAAAAGGCTTTTCAGTCCAGGGAGGGACATAACTTTCACACAATATAGCCATGGCTACCACAAGTCTATAGTACATATCTGCTTATGAACAACTAGATTTATTCCATTTCAATCTTTCCTTTAATGAATATATTTCAGCACCCTCCCTCAGCTGCATGGCTTTTGTTAAAAATTCAGAGAGTTGAAGTTTACAGATCAGAAAGGTGCCCAAGGGGAAGACAACTCTAAAGCTGCTAGTAAAGCCTCTTTGAGGAATTTTATGCTTATTATCCACTCCTTAACTTACCTTTCAAGTCCAAACAGCTGAGATGGGCAAATCTGGGCTTGCTGCAGTGAAGGCTGGACAAGAAGCAATGGGTGGAACTTTTACAGTAAGAGATCCAAACTTAAACTAAGGAATTTCCCAATTGTGAGAGCTACTAAGCAATCAAACAACCTGTCTCTTGAAGTTGCAGGTGCTCCATCATTGGAGTTTTTCAAGAATATATTGGATAGCCTTTTATTCAGAATAGGAGATTTCTGCAGTGAGCAAGAGTTTGGACTAGAACACCCCCATTTCCTTGATTCTATGAAAAGAAGGTTTGAGAGCCCTTTATAGCATTTGCAATCCTGCATGTCTATGGAGATTAGGTCGTAGTTATTCCAAAGGTGCTTTTCACAAGGCAACTAGACTTTCCTGTTTTTCTTTGAAGACATTTTGCTTCTCATCCAAGAAGCTTCTTCAGCTCTGACTGGATGGTGGGGAATGGAAGGATTTATATACCTTGCAGACAACTGTTCATTTGCATTTTTTTAGTGAGCTGCTAAAGCTACCTGGAGGCTTATCCATGTCTTCAGGGTCACCTGAATAGTGCAGATGGGTGTGGAGCCTTCTTGGAACCGCTGAAAGGACTGTGTTGTAGACTGGAGATAGATGATGTCGGATCCTTCTCCTTCTGTTGAGAGAGGGCTGTTCAATTTTGACATAGATGGCCTCTTTGACCCCTCTTTCAAACCAGCAGTCCTCTCTGTCCTGCAATAATTGTAAATCCTGCAATACTCTGATCAAAAGGTGATCTGAGCTTCATCTAAGTTCTATCAATGAGCTGTCCTGATTAAACAATCAATACGTAAAATTGATATACTTTTGTCATATTGTTTTTATTAAAAAAGAAAGCCACCTGTTACTGTCCTATCCTGTTGACTATAGGTTGTCTTGACCCCTTTGATTAAGTCTGGTTCAATACTTTCTTGCCCCTTGGTGCTGTAGCAGACAATACTGGTTGCTGCTAGTCCAATCACACTTCCTAGCTTCTGCTGCTTCCACCCAAGGCTTCTCTCAGTTATCTTTTCTTGACCTTCCTTCACCCCTGCACTCAATTATGCTTTGCTGCCTCCTCCTATGGGAGGGGGTGGGGGGCAGCTGCTGCTCTGCTTGTTTTCTGGTGACTCTAACAAACTGCAGCTGCGCTTCAGTCAGCCCAGCCTTCAAGGTTGCCTCCTATATCCCCTCTTATCTTACCATTAAAAAAAAAAAAGGAGTGGGGAGGGTGAGGAAAAACTAACTAATCCTCCTTGCTTTTCTAGCTTAGTCATTTAAGGCTTAAACTTTCTTTTTGTGCTGTGGCCTCCAGGGAATTTACTTCACTTGGACTCCTCTTGGCATCAGCCAATTGGAACTCTTCTTCTCCTACCCTTCGGCCGAGTCTGCTGCAGGCAACTGTCTCTGGAATTTCCACTCCAGCTACCAAGGCCTTCACCCCACCCCCCAATCACAGGCTTTCACATGCTGCTGGCTGCAGGTTCCTCATTTCCACAGCATCTTTGGGCTTGCTTCTTGTGTTTATATGTCTCTTTTTCTCCTCTTTAACTTTTCTTTTTTCCAGCTTCTAAGACTTTGAAATCCAGCCCTACCTCTCCTGCCAGTCCAGCAAGCTCCCTTTTTTTGAAACTACGTAGCTTTTAAAGAGAGCGTTTCTCTTCTCTAAGCTGGGCCCTTCTTGGTCTATCAAAGGAAAGGAAATGAGAGTTTTCACTTCCACGCCCATCCTCTTACAGTGTTATCTGTTTAACCAGAATCTCTTTCTCTATTAATCAGGCTTAGAAGCAGCTCTGATCACCTTGTAGGTCACAGTGTTACAGGATTATGAATGGTTCTAAAGGCATCACATTTTTTTCAACCCTTTTGGGTTGTTGTTGTTGTTGTTATTATTATTATTATTATTTAAATTTATATACCGCCCTATCTCCCTTACGGGACTCAGGGCGGTGAACAGGCAATAATAAAAAACAATAAATATTGAATAAAAAGCCTGCTCTAAAATACCCCATATAAAACCCCTAGCAAAGCCCAATCAAAACTACGCCAGGCCGGCCGCATGGAATAGATGGGTTTTCAAGGCTCGGCGGAAGAGGCGCAGGTCCGTAGTTGTACGTAGGTCGGGGGGTAGGTCATTCCAGAGGGCAGGAGCTGCCACAGANAAGGCTCTCCCCCTGGGGGTCGCCAGCCGGCATTGACTGGCCGACGGCACCCTAAGGAGGCCCTCTCTGTGGGAGCGGACTGGTCGAAGGGAGACATTTGGTAGGAGGCGGTCTTGCAAATACCTAGGTCCATTGCCATGGAGTGCTTTAAAAGTTGTTACTAACACCTTGAAGCGCACCCGGAAGGCCACCGGCAGCCAGTGCAGCTCGCGCAGGAGAGGTGTTACATGGGAGTATCTAGAGGCCCCCAAAATCCCCCGCGCGGCCGCATTCTGAACTAGCTGGAGCCTCCAGGTGCACCTCAAGGGGAGCCCCATGAGGAAAACAATGTGCAGTATGCTGAAGAAGTAGGAGCCCCCCCTACATTTTTTTTCTTAAAGGCAGGATGATCTTTTAAAGAGATTTTAAAGGGATGGGCTGAAAATAAATGACATCCACAAGATTTATAAAAGTGAAAGTATCCTCTGGAATGATAAAATCTCCTCAATATTTAAATTATCAAAATTCCATTACACAACTGTAATGTGAAATGTTTGCAGGGTAGGATCCATTTACAGGAGGACTCCTTAATAGCCAACCCTTTCTCCCCTCGTCTTCCTTTGAGGCTGAATGGCTCATGTTTACCAAGTCTGACGGAGTGGGACAACTCGCCACAGCCAACTTGCTGCAGCCAACTCACCATGGCCAACTTGACACAGGACAATTTAACAATTCAATTTAATTATTTAAAATATATTTAAAAATATTTTAATATTTGTCATTCACATTTAATAATAACAATAACAACAACAATAATAATAAGAGTTGGAAGGGACCTTGGAGGTCTTCTAGTCCAACCCCCTGCTCAGGCAGGAAACCCTATACCATTTCAGACAAATGGCTGTCCAGTCTCTTCTTAAAAACTTCCAGTGTTGGAGCATTCACAACTTCTGGAGGCAGGTGGTTCCACTGATTAATTGTTCTAACTTTCAGGAAATTTCTCCTTGGTTCTAGGTTGTTTCTCTCTTTGATTAGTTTCCATCCCTTGCTTCTTGTCCTAACTTCAGTTGCTTTGGAGAACAGATTGACTCTCTCTTCGTTGTGGCAATCCCTGAGATATTGGAACCCTACTATCATGTCATCCCTCGTCCTTCTCTTCGTTAAAAAAATTATACTCCAGAACTTGGGACTAAGGTGCTAGGAAATGAAGTGTTTGAAGTTAGATCTTTGTATTGAGGGAGTATTATTCTGCTAGTGAAGTACCTGATGTGTCAACTGTAATACTTGAGTTGTTCCAGGCTTGTCATGACAGGTAGGAATCCGCACCTTAGGGAAAAAATATGTATTCTTCATTCACCCCAAATGTTAACTTTAATTAGCTTTAAGCCTTAAGACATTGTTCAAGAAAGCAATATTTTGCTAGATTTACATCTGTGAAAATATACTACTCTAAACAGTTCCCTCTGTGTGTGTGTGAATGTGAACTAGGAGTCAATTAAAAATCAAAGTCCAACAGTACCAATTAAAACAACTATTTAAGTTGCCAAAATGCTCTGCTTAACTAAGTTCATTAAAGTCTCACATAAAGATCAACTGAATAATCATTAACAATATCAAATGCCATTGCAGAGTTCATTAAGAAATGACATGCATGCTTACATCTCTCCCACAGTAGCCAATTAAATATAGTGCTCAACTAAAAGACCCCCTACATCCTACAGAGGCAGACAAGTGCATCTTTTTAAATGACAGATCTACATTGAAAAAAATATTTAGAAACACACTGTTCCTTTAGGATTTTACCTATACCAGGTTCTCCTTTAGGTACTCTTTTCCTTTTACTTCTGCAAGTATGAAATAAATATACATTTATAGGACCACGGCTTTTAAAAAAACGATACTGTTATACACAATAAATGTATTATATATAAAAACAGATATAGTTGGCTGAATTCAAGCAACAAACAACAATGGAAGAAATTTAAAATTACCTTAATTACAATGCCCATAATGGGCAAATAGAGTGTTTTCCCTGGGATTGGCAGTGGCCATCGATCAACATCACTACAAGCTAAGCAAAGGAGAAATAATCAGATTTGTACATAAAAGACTTTATTAACAATGCTCCCTAACATTTGTGAATAAAAAGATTTATTTACTGAATTAAATCTATTCAAGTTCATCTGATCAGTTATCAGATGATCTGGATTAACTGATAAAATGGCAACCTCACTAGTATGTCAGAAATAACAATTTTGAAATCAAAGTCAATGTTCTTCCACTACAATTCACAAATTATAGGCTGATGAAAATTTATAATTAATATGTTTTTTGAAAATATACAATATCAGCAAACCATCAATATTACCAACCTGCTTCCAAGAAGGGTTCATTTTTCTCAAAATATTCAGGTGCAATTTGTCCAAGCACAGTGTTAAATAAGTGGATATAAGGCAGCTTGCTAATCAGAACTAAAGACTATGAGAGAAGCAAAATAATTTATGATTAATTCTTCTAAAACCACTATAATTTATAATAAGCATCATATTAATTCCTCACTAAATTCAGATATTTTGCTTGTGGGAAGCCAACAGGAAATGTCAGAAACTGTGATTCTGGCTGTGGCTCACTATGATATTGTAGTCACAAACTGAGTTCCCAGGATATAATCAAGTGACTATAGGTATAGTGGCTGAAACTTTGAGGACCAGTCATAAGTCTCTCTCATTCAGTGCCATCGTAACTTTGAACAGTTGCTGAATGAATGGACATAACCTGAGGACTGCCTGTATGTATTTACTTCTGGGGGGGCTATATTCATAAGCAGATTTTATAAGCTAATTAGACCAACATGTTCCAATGTGATTTGGTGGGATCACTAAAATTAAGTGGTCTCACAAGTTTTCAACTATTTTTTAAACAAATTACATTTTAAAATATTCTTTATTTCATTTGGGTAACCATGGATTGCATTCAGCTCAGCTAATGTCCATGAATTTTCTGATAAAGTCAGCTTCATATATGAAAATAATGACAAATGTAGAACAGGACAATGGATAAGGTAAGGCAATCAGTTTGTTGTGTTTTTGAATGCCTTTGAGTCAGTATCCTTACAGTTGTCCTGGCAATATTTCAGAACTGCTTTGCTCTTACCTGTTTCTCAGGACTGATAGAGGTGGACTGGCCCAAGATCACTCAGATGGCTTTGTGCCTAAGCAGGATTAGAACTCATGGTCTCCCAGTTTCTAATCTAACTCTTTGCACCCAACAAGTTCTCACTTATTTTGTTTACATATACCTAATTTCATTTGCTATGACCCAAATATGTACTGCAGATAGCATTGTGATTTATGTATTCTGGCCTTTCAGATTAGCCAATGTAATATGTTTACAACTGGGGAGTGAACATTAACTCCTCAATCTTAAACATATTAAAGGCAATACTTTCCACTGATTTAAATGGAGCTTATTTTTTTTTCTTGAGTATATTTAAAAGACAACCATGAACAATTTAGCTAAAACTAAATTACCTTCTGAAAGTAACCTCGCTTTAATGTCTTGTCTTGTACTTGTCTAAAATACACATATCCATAAAAATATGCAGGATCCCTCTGTAAAATAAAAAGAAAACATTCCAAAACACTGAATACTTTCTGAGTAATGCTGTGTACTTAGCAGGTGTTCTTTAAGGAACTTTTATTAAAATCACAGGAGGATTATTCAGGATATTTACATTTTCAGACATGATGTCACTATAAACATTTTAACACATTCTAGATCAAGCCTATGAAAATTAAGAACCTATAGGAGCTAACATTACAATTATACAACATTCACTACACAATTAGCCTACATAGGTAATCCTCAACTTATGACCATAATAAAGCCTGTCCATTACAGTCATAATTCATGACAGTCATAAACCAGGTCACTTTTTTCAGTAGTCGTTAAGCAAATTCATTAAGTGAATTCATGGTAGTTAAGTGAATGCCACAGTCATTAAGCAAATCCATTGTTGGCTATAGGGTATTTTTTTTTGCTGAAAACTGGAATTAAACATTGGCTTTGGGCAAAAACCAAATTATAAATCTCAGACACAGAACAATGGGACATTGCAAACGGCCAAAAATGCAGGCCGGTTGTCTAGAGCCGAAATGTGTCTTGGAACTTTGCAACCGGGTTGTAAACATCTTTAGGGATAGTCCATTATAAGTTTGAACAGCTGCTAAGCAACTGGCCAAAAATTAAAGAGCTACTTGTATTTTATATACTTTGTTTCTAACATTTTTAATATTTACAGAAGAGGAACAAGAGTTGTTGCATAGATTACCTGCAATCTGTGACAATATTATGTCCCTTATGATAAGTCTCCATGAAGGAAAAACAATGATCCCCCCCCAATTTAATTTACACAATAGGTGCTTTGGACCACAATTCTTTATCAGCGTTACATAATTGTGAATTACATAATTGTATGTAATGTTGAAGAATACTATGCAGTACTAGAATTTTAATATGTAATTTCTGGTAGCTATTAAATACTAAACAGAAGTGTTTTGAACTTTTACCCATTACAATTTGCCAGCCCCTGAAGAGGTTGGATATGTCTTGAGATTAACTGGAGTTTAATAATTCCCAGAATCCTCTCAAGATTCAGGGACAAATGGGTCCCTGAAGTCTAAAACAGCTGAGTATAACAGCATTATAATTAGGTTTCCCCAAAAAACACCCAATTATAAATACAATTAAAGCGGCTTTAATTATTACTATTTCAGCAGAAAGGATAATTAATATGTTCACCATTAAAACAATCTGAAAGTTATTGGCCACACAATACAGGGCAATGCAACAGTACATTAAACAATGTCTTACTAGGTACAAAACTTACAATTCCACCATTAAATACCATCACAATAATTAGAATTAAAAAGACACCTTCATGCCTGGACAAGATAAAACATTCTACTTTCCCAACCTTCAAATAAATTGGTAGATCTCTGTCCAACTGATCCAGCAAACAGTGCCACGAAAGCTTTCTGCTAGAAGACTGCCGAAACCTAAAACAAAATTGTGTGTTTCCAAGGCAACCTAAGCCAAAAAGGAAAGAGGAGAAAAAAAACAGCAAAGGACTATACTGAGTGGGTAATATTTAAAAAGAATATATGTAACTAGCAGGTGCTTCTAACAAATATTAGTAAGTTTTTAAAATGCTCCCTAAATGCCAAGCACAGTTCTAGGTAACTCCATGCACAGAAATCAAACCTACTGTGCTTTACATTGAGAAAAGGGTGAAGAAGCAGACAGTGGTGTTTTCTCCTGGAAGACTTTCTACTTGACAAAGTCCAAGTATGACTCCGTCTTCTCTTGTTGAATAAACACAAATACTATGGTTGCAGCAAATTATACCTCTTTTTCTCTGCCAATAAGGGGTGTCCACAGAATAATACTATGGTTACTGCAAATTGTATCTCTTTCTCTGCCAATAAGTAAAAATCTCTGCCAGATTATAATAAAAAGATGTCAAGATGGTGTGATCAAAGCTTTTCCTGTTTTTTAGATGGAATCCACATTAAAAAAAAACATACTCTGTGGATACCCCTGCTACCAAGAGAATATAGGTATGCACATGTGACCACTTTGCACTCTAAAGTGGTCACATGTTTATACCTATATTCTCTTGGCACTGATTACCAGACATTAAAATGAGAATAATTTGCCCTCTTTTCACCAGTTTACTTGGGTCTCCTTTAGATGCTAACTATCTCCAAAAGGGCAGAAAGCCCTTAGAAAGTGGTATTACTCCATTTAAAGGAAACCCCATTGTCCTGCCTACTATTGATGTGGAACTGTAGTGCTCATTTCCTTCTGCCTAGATCAGGGGTGTCAAACTGCTGGCCCGTGGGCTGGTTGCCTCATGCGGAGGCCGCGCCCACCCCAGCTCCAGCAATGCAAAAAAAGTTGTGATATGTCACGACACGTCACGTGATGCAGTGAGTTTAACACCCACGGACTAGATGATTTAAAAAGAACCTGTAATATCTACTGAATGTGAGTTGCCAATTAAAATCATTGCAGATTAAAGCTTTGCATTAAAAACTTTCAGGGCAGCACTTTGTAGAAAACACTATTTTAACTTTAATGTGATTTTAACTTCATCTCAAATCAGATGAAACTGGAAATCCATACACACTTCACCAGATGGAAGTTTCAAAAAATACCAAGGTATTTTTTAATATTCTAAATGCTACAAGAAAAATGAATATATTCCACCCAAAACCTCACAATGTAAATTCGTAGTTATCAAGATTCATACTACAAAAGGTTTACACTACTTATAGCTTTCCTTATTTAAGAACCCCCCATTTATATAAAATTCTAACCATATAAATTTTAAAAGACAAGGTAAAAACAAGCTTTTCTCATTCTTCAGCATCAAGCTGATCCCAAAAAAATTCCTTTCACTAAAACTCTTAATATAAATAATCTTAAAACAGTGAGCAGGCAGCATATAAATGTAATAAACAAATTTGATTCTTAACAAAAGAAATCATTTTAAAAAGAAAATCCCACTTTAGCAATTCTTTCCACAAGACTGAAAAAATTTAAATTCTCTTTATAAATACCTAGGTAAAATATGACAAATAGTCAGAGGGGAGTTATATAACTTGATGAAATATTCTTGAAACATTATTAAATCATTATCACTCAAATTGATTCATATATATGGAATATATTTGAGCAACCAATTTTAATCCAAAAAGCAAATTCAATCTAAACCAACAGTCTCCAATCTTTCCGGCTTTGTGGACCAGCAGGGTGTGAGAGCGGATGGTTCCGCACAAGTGGTGGGCGAGCGTACATGCGTAGCTCCACTTGTGCAAGCAGCAGGCACACACGCCTGCTGCTTGTGCAAATGAAGCTGTGCGCTTGTGCAAACTCGCCCACAACTTTCACAGCCTGGTTCTGAATGGGCCACAGCCCGGTAGTGGGCCATGGCCTTGGGGTTGGGGATCCCTGATCTATTTCTGGTAAGTGGTCTATAGAAAAAAAAATCTTTCTCTGAAGAAGAGACTAGACAGCCATTTGTCCGAAATGGTATAGGGTTTCCTGCCTGAGCAGTGGGTTGGACTAGATGACCTTCATGGTTCCTTCCAACTTTACTATTATTATTATTATTATTATTATTATTATTATTATTATTATTATTATTATTATTATTATTATTAAGTAACGTATAGATATTCTAAATGCCAATAAAGAATTGCAACATAGCTTGACCAAGGCAGAATGCTTCTATAGGAGTATACAAAATAATTATTACATTCTTACTTTGAAACATTTTATGATGGAACATTTTACAGACTAGGCAGTCTCAAGCATGTTCTAAGCCTTTTCCTTAGAGGCTCCACTAATGTTTTCACAATAATGGTAATGAAGGTGACTTATATTTTTGAAAAATTAAGAACCGTCTACAAAATATTTACCAAATTGCTGACAAAAAAGAAACCTTGTAACCTATATTCCAGGAAAACATCCAAAGCATTTGTAACAACTGACAAGCATTTTACATTTATTTAAAAACACTTTAATACATTCAGTAATTTATAAACATAGTTTTATTTAAGTAACCTTATGCTTAGGTCCCAGCCTAAACTACTACTCCAGGCTAGAGATTAATCTGAATCCTTTTGAATATTGTAAAATATTCTTAGCCGCTGGTGTCCACAATTAACTACGATGGAGCCAAAATGACACAGGTGCCTGTTCTGATGATTCACAGCATTAGTGTGATGTAATTACAAACATGTAATTTGCTTCTTCCCATTTGCTTCCTATGGATGCCCACATTCTTAATTATCATTTGTATTATATGTGTTGCCCTCAAAACAGTATAGTCATTTTAAGATAGTTCAAGCAGCCAAACTGTACATAGTTTGAATATATATACAATTTCTAAAATGAAAATTAAGAAATTTATCATACAAAATATTGAATAGTCTCACAGTTAAAAATCTGTAATCACTTGAGCCAACAACTACAATTCATCATGTAAAATTCCAGGTTCAACTATTACAAATACTTCAAGATTTTTTTTTCACCTGCACTACAAGCATGTAATTTTAAACTAAGTGATTTCTAATAAGATACCTGCAAAACTCTTACTTTCAGTGCAAATTGAATTTTTATGGAATGGATATAAGACGTTTCCAGTACTATACTGTGCACATTATTTAGAGCAGATCTCACTGATTTCAATAGGACTTGCTTCTGAATAGATATACATAGGATTGTACCTGCAATCTTTGTGTCTAGGACATTTGCAGTGTATGTACGTGGGGGGTATCAATGAAATCAAAATGACAGGTACAAGAGTGCAGTTGAAGCCCCACCTCTTTTGACCCTTTTGACATAAGTTGCACACATGAAACACATTAAGAAGGGGCAGGGCTTTGATTGCCACATTGTCCCCACCATGTTGATATTATTGATCCTCCTCTGGATGCATCTTTTTGCATCTCTGCATTGGTACCGTTGAGTTTACACTCAATGTAAGTTATGGTTTGCTTAACCACAATTACTGACTAGATTAAAACTGGGTGAATTGGCACAACATACTAGGTCATACTTTACAGACTAAATGACTTCTCATAATATGCAATATTTAAAAAAAACAAATAATCTTATGGCTTAGTACAATGTATGACTTAAGCCTACCATTAATATTAGTAAGACTATGTGAAGCATTGAGAGGAAGTTTCTGGAGCAAGAAAGTATTTCTCAAAATTTCTTGCTGGGAGTATTGAGGCTGCCACATTTCTTAGAAGCTCAGCATGGCCTTTTTGAGGCAATGTCCAGGTGTTCAGGGCAGACATGTGCATATGCAGAAGGCACTTCTGCTGGACAAGGCTTCCAAGCTGTGACCCTGAACTTTTAAGAAATGCAGCCTTCTGAATACTACAAGCAGTTGTGAAGAAAATCCTCTTCCAAATATTTTACATAATTCTGGCATCCAATTATACCTTCTAACCCAGGGGTCCTCAACCTTGGCAACTTTAAGACTTGTGGACTTCAACTCCCAGAATTCCTCAGCCAGCAAAGTCTTAAAGTTGCCAAGGTTGAGGACCCCTGTTCTAACCCAACAGCTTCCTAGATCTTGACCGTCTGTGAAACACTCAAATAAAAGTATACTTATCACTCATACTTCACTTAATAAAACTGAAATAAAGACAACATAAAATAAAAATAGCTATTGCACATTTCTAGTTAAACAGGAATAATTTATACAAATATATATGTAAGTAACATACATATCTGATTACCTGAATTGGAATCTGGGAAAGACAAATAGCAAATATTGGTTTTCTAGGGGAGAAAAATAGAAGTTACATTTTGGAGGAGAAAATATATTTTATAAATGTCTTCTTAATGGTTTTACTCACCTCTTTATCCGTAAGTTTTGAATGCTGTGGATATATTACCTGTAAATGAGAATCTCTATCAGTCGAGAAACGAAGATACTCTATTAATTTATCACATAGTGCACAGGACCAGGTACCAATATGACTGGACCTTTGGTTATTACCCAAAAAGAGCATACACACTGCTAACCTATATTCCTACGGTAATTCAAAGATACCACATATTCAACACCAAATGCATCCAATAAGACTTTTCTAAATTAATATTTCCACAAGCAGTTCCAACAACAATCATGTCAAATAAAGACCTGGCATGTTTAACAGATTTTATAACCTATTTTCACTGGCTTCCTAACACAGATTAATACTTCACCTTAATTATTACAGTATTTTAAAAAAGTGTGAAACTGTCTTGCTTCTTATATTAAATTTATAGCATTTTTTGATTTATAAAAATGTCTTTTACTCTATCTTGGGCTCCAAACAGTTTTTTTTTAAGGGGGGGAAACAAACTGGAGAAATGCTCTTTTTGGGAAGTGAGCCATCCTGTCCCTAAAAAAAGCAAAAGCCAGCTGTGGAAATTAAGAAGATCAGGGAAATGGCTAGACTAGAGCAACTTAACCGATTAGACTTCTGGAACTTGTTATAATATGTATGGGAAATTCCAAATGTGCTCATCAAATCCAAAAGCTCACCAACTTGGGTCCCTAGGCTACTTAATGCCCAAAATCTATGTTCATGAATGCTGTTGGGAAAAAAATGTTATGAGATTGTGACTTGTAATCACAAGATGCTTATAATTTCATTAAACTCTAACATAAGATCTATTTAGTAAATACATGTCCCAATTCCTTTTTCTTCTAACAGCTCTCAGAGCTGTAGAATACTTAATACTGGGTTATTATTTATTCAATTGTTTATACTCTTCAGAATAAAAAAAATGGGGCTAATCTATTTAGTATGTGGTTGAAAATTATAGCATTTGAAATCTTACACATCTGGAGGGCATCAGGTTAGGAAACACCACTATACTACAATCTTACAGTGATACAGTGCGAGAAAACTGTATACAGTTTTCAATTTGTAACATAAATCTATGGGGACATTTCATAAGTACAGACCAGGACAGATAAGAATGGTAAGTTTAACGATATAAATGTCAGTCTACGTTTATCAACACTATGCTGCATTGAATAAAATTACCCTTTACCCCTATTCCTTTTCAACAACAAAAGCCATGGTTTTATTTCCAGCTAGGCCAGGCCAGAGCAAACTCATGTTTAGTAAACTCTAAGGATGGAAATTAACTGGCCTGATTCATATTTAACTCCTGCCTGCCACATGCTCAATTACTCCTATTTGAAACAAAACCTAGCCAGTATAAATCAAGTACCAACATACAGAACATTCTAGTTTCAATGTGGCTTCTAGGCAATTCATTTGCAACCACATATTCATTCAAATCCCAGATTTCTTTCATTTTCCTGTCTAACTCTATTCCATTCTTCCTTGGCTATTCTTATCTATTTAACTATTTAGCATATGGTATGAAGGCTCGGAAGGCACACAATTCAGCAAAGACACTGAACAGTCAAGACCAGAAGAAATAGGAGACCTGCAAACTGCTGCCTCTGTGATTGCACTGCTGGTCCTGGGAAGTTAAACACACACACACATCTTCTTATCTGGAAGCCTTAATTGGGGAATAAACCATCAACAACGAGATCCAATGTGTGGAGTTCTTCACGCAGGTTCCTATATTTTTCAGGGATGTCTCTAAAAATTACCGCCATTCCGAACATCACATTTGGACCAAAAGCCATGTAAATAAACCAACATTACATAAGTTGCCATAAGCAACACTAGAGCATTTTAGAAGGGCAGAAATGAAACCAATAGGTGAATCTATTTGAAAGGGTGTTGTTGTTTTTTTTTTTTTAAAAAAATAAATCTGTTTATTTTCCAGCCTGCATGAAAACACTGCTTGTATTAAAAGACCTGCGAATATAAACCCCCGACAGTTATCATTCAACGGCAAGCGAAATTCTTGCGCTAGTTGTTTGCTGCACCAAAGGGGAGAAGAAAGAGCCTCTTCCCGCTTTTCTGGGCGCCTATCCTCTGCAACGCCACCAAACATCGTTCGGCGCCGTCCCCGTCTAATAAAAAGCACAAGGCAGAAAAGGCTTCCACACTCCTGGGTTTCTGCCCCGGGCCACCTTCGCCTAGCCCGCCGGCAAAGGAGGCACCGCTTCTCTGCAGAGCACGATGTCCTGCCTCGCCCGAGGACGGGCTGGGCTGGCACGGGCGGAACACCCGACCTAGCCCCTCGCGGCGTGGCGTGGCTTGGCGCGTCACCCACCTCCACAGCTTGGCCGAGCTCCAAATCAAAGCCTACCACGCACACGCAGTGCAACCAGGCCGAGAAGCGGTCCCAGGGCAACACCGGCGGCGGCAAGGACGGACTGGGCGAGCCATCTTCGGCTTCCTCCGCCCCCGGGGAACCCGCCAATCCTCCGCTTCCGCCCTCGGCCGGCTTCTGCAGCGACATGGCGCTCGGCAGGGTTGCAGCGTCGGCTCCGGCACCGCCGCAGTCTCTACACCCGGCCGGGCTCCTCTCGTCTTCAATTTAAGACGCGGCGGTGTCCCTTCCTAGCCCCGGCTCGAGAGGAAGAAGGACCACATGACGCACGTCTCTTTGGGGCAACCATCCCCCACACTCTGTGGGAAAATCCACAGCGATTGGAAAGGAGGGACGTGGAAGAGTCCAAATTAGCAATGGGGGGGGAGGAATGGAGCGAAGGGAGGGGACTAAGGTACAGTTGCGCGGAGGAAAGGAAGTTTCTAAAGCAGTGTGGTACAAAGGGGAGATGTTGAAAGGTTCTCTTCCCCTCCCCCTGACAAAGAACGCAAGATTCTTGGGAAACAGCAAGGGTGCTATGGATGAAAGGGAAAAATCCTTTTGTTTTTAGCCTCCCATTTAAAGTTCAGTCCAGAACGTGTGGGTTTAAGAGCTGATTTCTTAAATTGGACGCATTGGTACTCCAGCTTGGAGGACTGGAAGATCCCGACAATTGGTCTAGTACCAATGAAGGAGAATATTTGCAGCTCAGGGTTGAAATGAGGGGTCCTTGGTGCTCTCTGAGCTTGCTTGCTTTCTTGCAGACGTTTTATTACCCTAACTGGGTAACATCATCAGTGCTAGTAAGGAGTGCTGTTTGCTGTCAGTTTATATTCTGGTGCCTTGCCTGCCTGTCTGATGATGTTACCTAGTTAGAAGCTCAGAGAGCACCAAGGACCTCTCAATTGGTCTAGTACAGCGGTTCTCAACCTATGGGTCGCGACCCCATTTGGGGTTGATCGACCATTTCACGGGGGTCGCCAAGCAAGGCTGTCCTCCATTTTTTCCCCTTTTCCGGCGGGTGCCTTACCTCCCTTGAGCTGGGCCAGCTGGTGATTGGCCTGCTCCATCTCTGCCGCTTGCCAGCTACGCCTCGGCCAGCGCAGGGGGCGGAACCACGCATGCGCGGCACTCCCGGGCAGGGAAAGTCCTTGACTTACGACCGGTTGGGTAGTCCTCGACTTATGACCGGTTTAGTCCTCGAAGTACGACAGGTTGGAGGTCACGGTATTAAAAAGGTTGAGAACCACTGGTCTAGTAGTTCTCTGCAGCAAGACAGACTTCCCCTCTCCACTCTTCTGATGCTTTATAATGGATAGGATTTTTCGCTGTTGATGAAATACTGTACTGTAATTAAGTACCGTGTTGTTTTCTAGGCTTCGTTTGGTAAAGCGCATCAGTATCACAGCTACAGTTATTTACTTGCATAGAAGATAGTTTTGTGAAGCTAAAATGCATATTCTGAAGATTGCTTACTTCCTGCTTCTTCAGGCCCTACATGATACTGTTAGTTTTCTAATAAAATAAATGGAAGTTGTCTTTTAAGCTTTCTGTTTGGTTTTCCAAGTGGTTAAAATATGAAACACTGAATTGTGTGCTAAATGAGCCATTTATTTGTATGGGTTGGGCTTAAGAGTGCTGCATCAGCAGGGCTGGTCAATTCCTAAACTATGTTTGGGGCTCAATCTGCTCAGGGAATCCACTCGTTTGGTTAAAGCTCTCATGCTGCAAAACCATCTGCATGATATCCTTGGTTTATTCAATAAACTAAATTTTCTAGATTACCGTGGCGCATTGAACCATAGATTAATCATATTGTCATAGCTCAGAGGTGCATAGCATTATTTCCTCTAGTTTTTCTACATCATTCCTGAACAGTAGGTTCGGGTAAGACAATGGCTGGTTCAGAGTTTTCATTTCTATGGCTGAGGCACTTTTCCAGTGCAAGTCACAATCACTTAGTGATGTAGCAATGAGCATGTTTAGGGCAATTTCCCCTAATTTGTGGCCATCCTGGTTCGGCCACTATATTCAGGCATCCTCATTCAAGGTTTAATTCTTGTATCTGTGTCATTTAAGATTAAAAGTTCATGTAAAAGTTAACCTAAAATCCCATAGTTGAGAAGGGAAATCACTGATTCTGGGATAACTGGAAATAATTTGCATCAGTATAGAAGCGCTATGAGAGAATCTGCCTGTGGTCTATAATAATATGTTGTAAATAATAGTGACTATGAGTAAGAAACATGGTTTTGCTTCATGTGTACTTTGCATAATGAACTTACGAAATCCTATTTTAATGAATGGGACTTGGAATTCACTCAAGGATTCCACTGTGGGTGTATCTTGGCTCAAGAAAAATTACTATTGCAAGGTAATTTGAAATTTCCTCCGTGCATTGATGGAAATGAAACTCCTTTCAAAATAACAGAATAACCGAGTTGGAAGGGACCTTGGAATTTTATAGTTCAACCCACTGCTCAAGCAGGTAATCCTATACCAGAGTTCCCCAACTTTTCTGGCTTTGCGGCCCAGCAGGGGGGAAGAGGGGATAGTTCTGTGCAAGCAGCGGGGACAGCACATACTCGCCCACTACTCACACAAGTGGGGATGGCATGTGCACTCACTACTTCTGTGGCCCAGGTCCAAACGTCTCAAGGCCTGGTAGTGGGCTATGGCCCAGGGGTTGGGGACCCCTGCCTTATACCATTTCAGACAAATGGTTGTCCAATCTCGTGAAAACCTCCAGTGATGGAGCACCACAACTTCTGGAGGCAAGTTGTTCCACTGATTAATTTCCTCCTCATACAAATGACTACAATTTTAGAATTTTTGAAATGAAAGTGGTACTGGATCTACTTGGGTTCACTTTATGCAATTAATGCTTTTTGCAGTGCTGTATTGTCTAAAAGGTTTTCTTTCCCTTTTGTAATACCAATGGTTGTTTTTTTTAAAGCAAAATTAATGTTTAAAAAACAAACAAAAAGTGTTGGCCAAAGGTGCTGGGATACTATCTAAAATAACAAGTCAGCAACAAACCAGAGCTGATTTTGGTTTCTGCATCATCTGACACCATTCAGATGGATAAATGGCTTACCCATTGCTGGCACCAGATGGAGCTTAATGTTTACTATGAATGTGAAGTGTCAGAGGATAAAAAGACTAAGGCTTCTAAATATTGAAATCCATTGATGAATGAGGACATCAGGTTAAGCCAGGGATTGTTTACTAAGCCGTAAGTGTTGAATGCATAAAACACACTAAGCTAAAGTCACATAATAAGGTGGAGTGCAATATGTGAATCCAGTAAAAAAAAAATTATAGTAAGACTAAATTATAAAAATTTATCATCCAGCATACAAAGTGCATTAAATAAATCTGAACAAACAAAACTACTAATGGTATAATAAAATGAAATGTATATTACCAGTGGTGGGATTCAAATATGTGAACAACCGGTTCTCTGTGTGGATGCCACTTCTGGAAGTCCATTCTGGGCCTAGGCAACAAAAATTAGCTATCGGTTCTGCTGAACTGGTGCGAACCAGCTGAATCCCACCACTGTATATCACAGGTATTTTAGTTTTATGATAATCCTTCTAAAATTGCATTCATGATGCATTATAATTCCTATTACAGTTACTCAAAATATTATTATTATTGTGCCAGATTATTAGACTTTCTGGAATGCAGTTTAGTAGACAGGAATTCTTACAGCAGTAATAATTTATATTTCTATCTTTTAATCTACTCTTTTATTTCAAGTTTTTTGCCCATTGATAATGTTGCATATTTCAATGACTGAAATAATTAAATAGCTGGCACTTTAAAAGCAACCTACAATCAAAAGTTAAAACTTTATGTAACTGAAGTGCCTAGCGGAGATGCGCTAATAAGAAAAATTTTGTATTGCGCAGAATTGGATAAGATGACTAAAGAATTAAAAAACCAGGAGGAAACAGAATACTACCTAATTTGGAATAAATTTTACAAATGGAGGGAAAAAAGAAGGAAGTCGATAGAAGAGATATAAATAGAGGAAGATTATCAGAAATGTATAGCTGCATATAAATATATAATATTTACTCTTATACGTACAGTATGGAATGATTAGACAAAAGATATATGTCAAGGATGATACACTACGTTCAATGTTTTTTTAATTTCTTTTTTCCTTTTGTACTTAATAAAATTTATTTTAAAAAAAAAGTTAAAACTTTACAATTGTAAACATATGGCTGAGACCCATTACTGTTACACCTTTCACAGGGAGAACAAGGATGAGCAGTGCCACAGATTGTAGTTGCTAAGGGCATACTATAGTCCAAAACGTAGTCAGGCCTGGGGGGAAGAAGTGGGAAGAGTCAGAAAGTTAACAAAATTTGATTTGCTTTCAAATTTGATTTTAAAATAATGATAATGTAATGTAATTAAATGCAATTAAACTTATTACGCCTCATGTACTGTATTTATCACCGTGCAGTACAGACAGACCATTTGAATTTTAAAAGATCCCCTCCCTCCTGAGATAAAAGTCCTGTGCAATGCTCAACTTTTCAATCCTGGATCGTCAATTCTAGCTGAAACCAATCCTAGAGACTCTACACACTACCCAGTAGATATGTCTAAAAAGTAGATTAGCTGAGTTAATAATTATGTACAAAATCAGTAATTGCTTGAAGAGAAACATCTTGTTTCCATAGTTCCTTTCACCTGGCATGTATTTACAAGACCTGGCTGGGCCTAGTGGGAGGTGCCCCTCTCGGAAATATGCCCAGCTAGATTTAGGGTTTGGCAGGAGCTGAGACCCCAGGGCAGGGGAGGAAGGGTAGTGATTGTAATCCAGGAATCTCTAGTAGCCATCAGGGGCCTTATTCCACAAGTTGCTGGTTGTGAGACCCTGTTCCTAAAGTTAGGCTCTTGGGAGCAATTGGGATTGTTGCTGCTATACCAGCCTCTCTGCTGCATAGCAACTTCCATGCCTAAATTCCTTAGGACATCTCAGGGCTGTCTGTGATGTTCCCTAGGCTTATGGTTCTGGGGTGCTTCATCCCAGGGACTTCATCCCTGGGATGGACTTCTGAAGCAGCCCAGGAGTTCATGGCCTCTATGATGGCTTTGGGCCTTTCCCAGGTCATTCTTGGCTTGAC